ACAAGACAAACAGTATTATTCGGTCTCCGCATATTCACTTCATAACTTTTATTCACTTATTTGATATGTTGTTGATTATGAATAAAACTTTGAAATGAAAATGAATGAAATAGATGAACATACAGGCGTATAAACAAGTGAACATACATACCGGCATACAAGCAAGCCTATAATACATATATATTATAAAGATACCCATGCATTCAACCACTGAAAAACAGATTAATCCAAACTTATCACAAATATTGCAACTTGCAACATAGGGAACAAATCAAATTCACTCACACACACTTGCAAACAAACACATACGCTCACATACACAGCCGAACACACACAAGATACGGCCACACGCACAAACACACACACATTAGAAAAATTACAATTTCATAATAAAAATTAACAAGCAAAAAGCATTGTTTGATGGTTAATTAGTACGTGTGGATGTGTGTGTGCGTGTATTTTGCCTGTATATATGTATGTGAATATGGAAGAAGATAAAAAATACTTTTCAAAAAATTTTTTATAAAGTTCTAGCACGAACTAATTAACTTTGTTTTTGCATTTTGCAATTAAACTAAGCAAACGTTAAAAAAAAGACAAGTAGAAGTTGTAGTAGTATAGTAGTGGTAGTTGTAGTAGCAGTAGCAGTAGTAGTGTTGGTGGTGGTAACAGTAGTTGTAGTAACAACATTACATTGTATTTATAGCAAAAACGATGACGATCGTGAAGAAGATGATGATTAATAACAATGACGAGGTGGATAAAAATAGACAAACCCCAACAACAACAATAATAATAATAATAATAATAATAATAACATCAATAATAATAACAACAACAATAAATTATGCTATTGGTCTAGAATAAAACAACACATTCGTATATTATATATAATATATACATATATTTCAAAAATTCAACACTACTTTCAACATTGTTCAACTTTTTCATATTTCTTTTTAATTTATTAATTTATTTAGCTATTTGCAAATTTATTTAATAAAAATTTAAAAAAAAAACAGTAAAATGTCTAATTTCTCGGAAATTAATAAATTAAAAAGAAATATGAAAAAGTTGAACAATGTTGAAAGTAGTATTGAATTTTTGAAATGTTGCGTTAACAATAGTCTGTTACCAAAATATATACATATACATATTCATTATGAGAAAAATATATATATATACATAAAAACGAACCAACTAACTAACGAATGAATGAATGAGTGAATGAATGAGTGTGCGATTGAATGAATTAATGAACGAATGAATGAACGAATGAATGAATAATGAATGAACATATGCCTGTACAGTAACAATGAACAATCGAAAAAACACTAATTGGCTGAATACTTTATAAACGAACGCACAATAAATACGAATAAAACAAAATTCAAGAGATGAATGAATGGAATGAACGAACGAAATAATGAATGAACGAGCAAGTGAACAAACAAATGAATGAATAAATGAATGCATAACATGATGAATAAATTTGAATAGGACAAAGAATTCATTATTATTAGCAATAAAGTAACCACAATCTATATTATAATCAAATTTCAAGAGGTCTTATCTATAAGGAGTCTTCAAGTCTTCAACATAAAGTTCTATGAGAAAGAGAGAGGGAGAGAGAGAGAGAGACACAGAGAAGGAAAGAGAGAGGAAGAAAGAGAGAGACAGAGAAAAAAAATAAATAGAGAGAGAAAAAAGAAAGAGAAAGGCAAAAGGAGAGACAAATACAGAAGTTCTAAAGAAACAATAAAACTAGAGAAAGATCGAATGAGAGACGAAGAAATACAAGAAATGTAAGAAGAAAGAGAGAGAGAGAGAGAGAAAGAGAGAGAAACGATGAAGAGAACGATAGAGAGAGAGAGAGAGAGAGAGAAAGAGAGAGAGAGAGGAGAGAGAGAGAGAGAGAGAGAAAGGAAAAAAGAACAGAAACGGGAGAAACAAAGAGATAAAGAAAGCGAAGAGTGATGGAAAAACAAATTTTATTTATAGGTTGATGATGATTGCAGGCATGAAAGAACAATAAAACAACTGTACCACTAAACTAACCGCTCATTACTCTATATAAGTTTGTTTGTTTGTTTGTTTGTTTGTTTTGTTTGTTTGTCTGTTATTTCTTTCATTCATACATTCAATCGTTCATTCATTTGTTCATTCATCCACCACTTCGTCCGTCCGTCCATCAATTCATATGAAAATTTTCTCCGTATCCAGTTGCAATTCTAATGAACATGATAGTATTGAATGGCAGTTGCTGTTGTTTGCTTGAAGATGTTACGGTTATTTTTTGCTTCTCTTTTATTTTTAGCTTTTTTTATCCATCTTTCTATCAATCTAGTCGTTCGTTTATTGGTTAGTTTGTTTGTTTTTCATTCGTTCGTTCATTCATTCGCTAATTAATTCATTTGTATCTTTTATATCTTTTGCTGTTGACTTGCTCTGGTCAATCGAATCTTCATTCAATCACTCATTCATTTATTCGTTCGTTCGTTTGTTCGTTCGTTCATTCATTCATTCATTCATTCATTCACTCATTCATTTATTCATCCGTACCTTTTCCTTCTGTCTTGGTTTCGTCAATCGAATTTTCGAGATGATCTTGCCGGCAAAAATTTCCTTGGTGCTCAAATCGGTCATCTCATAACATTTCGCGAAACCTCCCTGGTCAATTATAGTGAATTATGATGAATCATAGTGAATTATGAAAAAACATTGGTGAAATAGGGTAAATTATAGTGAATTATGATGAATCATCACCACCACGCGTACATTATTAAAAAATTATTTATGAATTATAGTGAATTACGTTGAGTTACGATGAATCATAAAAAATTAATGATGAATTCGGGTGAATCTTGGTGAATTATGATGAATTATAAAGAATCACGAAGAATTAATGATGAATTAGGGTGAATTATTGACATGATTAATTACTGTAATAATGAATTATAATCAAATGAATACACCACCACGCGTTCACACACGCACGCGCGCACACACACACACACACGCACACACATCGTCACATGCATCTCCTGATTTACAATTCACACAAACACAAACATATGCAAACAGACGAACACGAGCACAAAAAACAAATCTACAAAATGTTAAGTGTTCCACAACGGTTAAGATAAACTATACATATACTTATACATACACATACATACATACATACATACATACATACATACATACATACATACATACATACATACAACGATAACGATTGTAACGTCGATATTACCGACAAGGGTTGATCTCAGGCTCAGCTGCCGGTAGGATTTGGGGGACTGAGGTTACTAAGCGTGGTTCAGCTTGCACCAATTGTTTATAAATCTTCTGCATCTGCCACGCTTGACCTACAGTCTGCCCTTCTTCGGCAATTTAGTAGCCTGCACTGTACTCCACCGACTCCAATCCAACCAACAGACCTTTCCCAGGGCAACATTTTGGAGGAAGCATATAAACGTACATTCAGAGAGTTGCTTTCCTCAAGCCCTGACTCGGCGACCTCAGCTCGCTTGCTGGCAGTTTCCAGCGAGGCGAGTTGCGGCTGGCTGAGATCTTTGCCCAATACGTCGGTGGGTACCAGATTGGACGACGAAACGGTCAGGACAGCCATTGGCTTCCGTCTGGGGTTGGCCGTTCAGAGTCGATATACATGCAGGTGCGGCGCGGAGGCGGATGAACTTGGCCATCATGGTCTTGTTTGTCGTTTGGGCGGAGGTCGCCAGCAGCGACATTCAGCCATAAACGATTTTGTGTGCCGACTTTTCTCCAAGGCCTCAATTCCGGTTTTAAAGGAACCGTCGGGCATTGCGGCGCACGATGGTAAGCGCCCTGACGGGTGTACCTTGATCCCTTGGAGAGCCGGCAGGTGCTTGGCGTGGGACGTTACCGTTCCGGGCACCTTTGCTGAGCGCTACGTGCAGCTTACTAGCAAAGAAAGCGGTTTGGCTGCAACCAGGGTATCTGACGAGAAGATCAAAAAGTACGACGGAGCTCTCCCCTCGATGGAGTTTTTACCGATTTGTATCGAGGTCCTCGGCCCCATGGACCGTAACACCTCCGGGTTTTTCAATCGGATTTGTAAAAATATCAGTATTAGGTCAGGCGATAGTAGGGAATATTTTTTTGCTATGAATAATATCTCGTGCATTCTGCAGCGGTTTTTGCGCGAATGTGGAGTTGAATGCCGACGGGGTTGAGTGACGTTATAGCAAATAAAATCAAATTTAGTCAGACGCTTGGCTTTTGGTGTCATTTGTCAATGATTTGGTTTTAACATACATACATACAAACAAACAAACAAACAAACATACATACATACATACATACATACATACATACATACAAACAAACATACAAACATACATACATACATACATACATACAAACAAACATACATACATACATACATTCGTTTTAAAAATCACAGCACTTTTCCATTTTCCATTTAAAAGATGTTGCATGAAACACCATTGAGAATAAAATCAATAAACTCATTTTTATTTTAAATAATTTTGATTGAAATATTAGTGAAAAACACACACAACACACACACACACAAACAAACACATATATATATGTATATAAAAATAACTTAATTATCAAAGGTTTTATCATCGCATATACACAACACATAGCCTATATGAATGAACCCACATGAATTAATGCATCTCACGGACAAGGAATTTACCAATTCACCACACACACACACATACACGCACACAGGCAGAAAAATCGTATTGAAAGAAGTCGAAATAAATTATTATAGCCATAATAATAATTACAACAACAACAACAACCATAAAAAAACAACAACAACATTAATAATAATAATAAAATAATCTCTGTGCAATCAAATCTTTTTTGCCCCATATTATAAATTCAAGGGCATACAAAACAAACAAAAAAACACACATACACACACACACAGACCACTGAATATTCATATTACAAAAAAGTTTAATTTTATGAATATATTATGCTAATTAGTCGCTAATTAGCCAATGAATGACCGGTACCTTTCCGAGCAGTTTGCCTAGCAAATATTTAGTACCCTGTTGCTTATCTTGAATGTAACTATCTCTACTAGTGTTGCAAATTGAGCTGCTGTTGTTGTTGTTGTTGTTGTTGTTGTTGTTGTTGTTGTTGTTGTCGTCGTGGGTTTTTTTGCTAGCGAACGGATCTTGAACTGATTGTGAATCCTTTTTGTTATTTATAGAATCCGTTTTTTTAACTTTAACGCCATTACTGATTTCTTTTAAAACTGCCACATCTTTCTTTCCTAATCTGTTGGCGTTGTTGACGTCTTTAATGTCGTTGCTGTTGTTTTTGTTGATGTTGGCGTTTTTGACGTTGTTGTTGTTGTTGCTGCTGCTATTATTGATAAGACTGTTGCTGATGCAGTTGCTTCTATTGCTGCCGCTTCTGTTGATGTAATTTCTCTTATTGACGATGTTGATGTTGATGTCGTTGTTGTTGTTGCTGGTATTAATGTTACAAGAAGTGTTGTTGTTGTTGTTTGATACATTATTAATATTGAATTTTGAGTTGTTATTATTATTATCATCATTTTTATAATTACTACCACTAATGTTAGTATTATTTACATGATTATTATTGTTATTATTCAGACTATTATTATCATTATTGTTATTGGTCAGACCGGTTACATTAACGAAGTTTTTATTATTATTGACGTTATTCAGTATGGGATCGTCATCATCATCGCCGACGACATGCAGGTAGTAGGGCGGTGGACAATCATTATCAGCACAATCTCTGGCCGCCAGTCCTCTTGATGATGATGATGACGTCGAAGGCTTAGCGTCATCAACGACAACAATATTGTTATTGTTGTTATTATTATTATTGTTGTTTGGGTGTTGTTTTTCCGCGGCACTTTGAACAACGACGCATTCTGACGAGGTAAAGGGTATTTTTTTGACAAATAAGCCCCCAAAACAGCAGCCAATCAGATCGCTCTGGCTCGATGATTTTTTTTCTTTCATTTTTTTACCCTAATTTTGTTCATTCCTTCGTTTGTTTATATATTAGTATAATTATTTATAAATTATATTTTAATTAAACATATATATATATATATATATATATATATATAGTAATTTATTGATTAATTTTTTTATTTATTTATATTTTATAACAATGACGATTTAATATTATTGTGGATGAAAATAGATCAAGAAAAAATTTGTATCTTTATAATTTATGTATCCATCTATCAACCTTCACTCATTTATTTTATTCATATTATTTACTTACAATTATTCCAATCAATCCATAGGGTAATTAATTGCTCAATTAGTTATATATATATATTTGGTTAATAGATCTCAAAATCTCAAAATATTTTCTAGTTAGTAATCAATTAGAATGTCCAATTTGTTTATCCAATTATATTTCTTTCCATCGCTAACTGGTAGCAGCTCCGCCAACGTTCTCCTAAGAATATCCACAGCATTTCATATTTATTTATACATCTATAATAAAACCTGAAGGAAGAGAATCAGTAACGACTTTTAGTTTAATAATTCTTAAAAATTAAAAACATACAAAATACAACACAGCAAACAGTACAAAGATAAACCGTCTAAATAACAATAACGAACAAGCGAAATAATGTAATAAAAATCATTGTTGTTGTTGTCCTTAATATTATTATTATTATTATTATTATTATTATTATTATTATTACAACAACTACTACTACTACTAATTATTGATATTATAATTATTTTGTTGTTATTATTATTATAATATGACCAGATTCATCCGTTTCTACCTGCTAACCAATATTTAAAAAGGGGAGGCCAAACTGATAACGTCACTATGTTGTATCTATAATATCCATACGTATCTAAATCTAAATCTCTCTCTCTCTCTTTCTCTCTCTTTATATATATATACAAATTACAAAGAAGTACTTTTAGTAAAAACGTTATTACTAATCATCTATATATTTCAAACGGACGTACTGCATACATCGGCTTTTAATGAATGTAGCTTATATATATATATATATATATATATATATATATATTATTTATATATATAACATATACTTTGACATATAATTTATACTTATATATGGAAATGTATATCACACACTATATATGTATTACCGTGGTTTTATCATTAGGTATAGTGACACGTATATATGAACAAATAAATGTATACATGTATACGCATATATATATATATATAATTATATATATATATATGCATATATATATAAATATATATATATATATATTTATATATATATATAGCTGATCATCTTCATCATCTATAAGCAAACAGCTGGATCACACCTGTACTACACGGGTATTATTTTAAAATTTGAACCATTTTGTAGCACTTCATTTATTCGCCGTAGTAAATTATTATAATAAGGAGTGTTAATGATTTATTATGCCATTATATTGTAGGGATTTTTATGTTTAAATTGTTACGTATTTAATTAGTTTTATTTAATTTGAATAAATTTGTGAAATTTTCAATGTCGAAACGTTAATACTGAGCCAGAATTAGTATTTGTGATTCGTTGTTCAAACTCCAAACAAAGCGTGGTCGGTTTTATTATTATTATTATTATTATTATTACTGTTATTATTATCATTATTATTATCATTATTGTTGTTGTTTTTATTAGTATTGTTTTTGAAATTTTTAACATTGTTGCCTTTTTGAAATTTTTCTTGTTATAAGTCTTCTTATGATAAGTCTTCTTGTTATAAGTTTTATATACTATTGAAATAGTTATATAAATAATACATATGCATGTATATAAAATAAAGTATAAACTATATATATAATATAATATTTCCACCTTTCAAACCAAACAATAGATTAACAGCCTTAACAACAGAATATTGAGACTTTAAAATGTAGCTATAAAAAGCAGAACAATTATGACAATAATAATAATAACGAATAATAATATAGCAGTAACATAATAACAATGATAACAATAATAATAGTAAATGAATTGTTAATATTCTTTTTGTTGGCCTAAGTCTGTAAAGAGTAACTAACTAAATTTAAATAAAGATATTTCTTGCATCTAAATTTTTAGACTTTTAAACATCTTATTTTTACAAGTATTATGTATATCAGATTTATTAATTTATTTTCTATTTAACTTTATTTATACAACAATAATAAAATTAATTAATCTAAGCTTTTATTTTTAGTAGGCTATAGAAAATACGTCATCCCTCGACCAATATGACGTCACTACCGATAACTCCAAACGTCATCCTATCAGTATCCAGCATAAGTTTACTTTTGATCATTCTTCTTTCCATAATTCACTGTGAGAAAGACTTACCTGACTGGAAAAAGTCTGAAGTTTATGACAAGGAAAGATTGGCTAAGCATGACGGCTCCAATGTAAGGCATTCATCACTAATTTATTTCGTGTTTTTCAAAGTTTTATCTCTGTGATTTATCCTACAATTGTGCTTCAGTATATAGTTTGTGATTAATGTAATTAATAATAATACTATTGTAAATTTAATATTGTGAAATCATTTAACATATTTATTTAACTTTTATAAATTTTCAACAAAAGCCAAATCTACCAATTCTCATGGCAATAAAGGGAGTAGTGTTTGATGTCTCTTCTGGAAGAGGTTAAGTTATATATTTGTGTGTGTGTGTGTATGTGTGTTTGTTTATGTGTGCGTGTGTATGTGTGTGTACGTGTGCATATCCATCTATTTATATATTTTCACTTATTATTTTATATTTCTGTCAATATTAGAGTTCAGTTGTGATAAATGAATAAATCGATTTCTATTTATATAGCGTAATTTGTAAAAGATTCAATTACGCTTTTCCTAAATAAAAAAATGTGTAAAATCTTTTTTAACCAGGATTTTATGGGAAAGACGGTCCGTACAACGCGTTGGTTGGTAAGGATAGCAGTAGAGCTGTTGCTATGATGTCTCTGGATCCAAAGGATCTCAACGATAATCTGGTGAATTGATAATTCATTAATTAATTCAGAGATTTATTTATTCATATATTCAATCATTCACATTTATACTACATATATTCATCTTTTTATTTATTCAAAAGGAAGGCCTATCAGACGAATACTTGAAATCATTGGACAACACGTTCACAGACACCTATCTAGCTAAATATCCAATTGTTGGTTACACTCTAGACTTCGTTAAAGCACAAAAAACTGAGCTTTAATTAAATAATGCTTTCATTGTATAATTATTAGTGAAATGGTAATTCGATAATGCTATTAATAATTTCATGATAATTCAATGTTTAAGCGAATTGAAATATAGTTAATTTAGTTATTCCAATAAGCTTGTTGCGTTGGTTTATTGTTCGTTTGTGTTATTTATTTGTTTAATTTTTGGATTCAAATAATTTTTAATTTATGGTGAAGTGATTCATTTTGTTTCAATTAAAAACTACATTAAAATCACTGAGCATATGCTTGTCATAACAAAGTTTAAAGTGGTTCAGTAGACTAGCATATGTGTAAGAACCACTACAAAATAAATGTATTAGTATCCTAGCTCTCCTAGTTTGATTTTAAAATTGTTGATCGAATCCACTGAAACAATTTCATCGCTCAGCTCTGTCCAGGCGTTTACCACCCTGCTGCTGAAGAATCTTTGCTTTATTGAATTTTCTCTTCTTGAAGAGCTTGTATTTGTAACCTCTTAATCCTATCCTTTTTTCTAGTTGAAAGAACTTGGTGAAGGTCCTTAGTGCCAAGTTGATACTGAAATATATATGATTTTTTATATAACACATTTTTCTATCATAATTTGAAATTGTACAATCATTTTACGTTCTCTAACCAAAAGTTAAGTAAAGTTTTTTCAACCCATAAGCAGTTTAAACGAATTATTTTTGAAAATAACTTACGAACAAAGTATAATAAATGAATGTATGCTTTATCAGCTCAGGCTGTGGTGTCTATGTTTTTTCTCCTAAACATCTTCCTTTACGAAATTTTAAGGTAGGTGAATGGCGGAACTATGTTGATTTATTAATCCTTTCCGCGTTTTATTTCATTTAAAACATCAATTATTTTTATAAATCGATTGCAATAGCTAAAATGAATTCTGACAAGTTTATAATAACTTAAAAATTTTTCGTTTCTGTAACATTGTCACCAATTGGAGTCAAAGCCATGTCATATTGTTATTTCGTCGTTTTTTCCTTAATTGTTGGCAATTCTTTTTCAATTCAGACACGTTTTAGTATTTAGTAGAATTCGATTTATTATTTTTTCAAAATTTAATTTCAGCCAAATTGAATTCATGTGTTTTTTCTCTAATCTTCATTTTTTTTCCTTTCCGGCAGTTTGATCCTTAAAAGACAAAAAGTCATCCCTGAATCACAAGATGGTCAAGGAGGATCGTAGCACTTGGAAGGCCGGATACTTCACCAAACTGATTGTTAGTAAAAATTATTTAAATTAGTGAATGGGCACCTTTAAAATTTTAAAGTAGGTTTTTTAGCTATTAATTTGTATATTAGATAGACATTTTATATGTTCAACAACCATATGCAGTTTTTTAAATACTGCAGTGTAATGGCTGACATGATCATTAATTAGACTTGATATTTGGTAGATTCTCGTATCAAATCAGAAACAATTTTTATATTGTCATTACACAACACACGTTTTTCAAGTCCACTTTTGGAACTCGTAATTCAAAACTGTCACTTGAGTGAATTCATTTCATTCAGTTCTTATTGAATGATAGAATAATTTGGGTGGCATTTTGTAGAGTTCGACAACTTTTTTGTTGTGTCATCAAAAGTGCATGAGTCATTGGCGTGTAACAGCAGTATACCCTCTGGCTGTGGCCATGATCACATACACATGTTTTGATGAGCTGCTGACTGACTGACTCTTGTTAGTCACTACTCATTGTGGTTCAATTATGTGATCTATACTACATGAGAGGACACTGATTTTATTATTAACCATCTTTTATTAATTAGTTAATTTATTTGTTGCTTCATTTTCACTACGTTGTTTGACCATCTTAAGTTATGAGCATTTACACACTCACATATTCTAATTATTTTACAAAAATTTACAAAACATTTTTTTCTGATTTATGTGACAGAGCTTGCTCGACGAGTACCCTAGATGTTTCATTGTTGGGGCAGACAATGTTGGCTCAAGTCAAATGCAGAAGATCAGAATTGCTCTCAGAGGAACTGCCGGTGGGTTTTTTGCTTTTGTTTGGTCTAACTAATTAATCATAGTTGCTAGTTTCGGCTTAATATACTAAAAATCTAGTCTTAATAAGCGTGATTTGTAAGTAAATTCAATATTTAATTTGAACTGCAGTTGTCTTGATGGGAAAGAACACAATGATGAGGAAAGCTATCAGAGGCCACATTGAGAACAATCCTGCTCTTGAGAAGTCAATCATCTTTTACTTTTTATGTATTTTTATGTATTTGTTATAAAATAGCTTTTAAAATGCATCCTTTTCTATGAATTTTTGGTTCCATATGCTCCATAGACGTGATTCTATTGCAGATATTTAGTTGCATCGTGAATGAAATATTCTACTAACAATGATACTTGCAGTTGTAATCTCATTATTTACAGAAAAATAACTTACAAATTCAACTTCCAGGTTGCTGCCACACATCAAAGGCAACATCGGTCTGGTCTTCACCAAAGGAGAACTCACAGATGTCCGTAAGATCATAGAAGAAAATAAGGTGGCTGCCCCGGCCAAAGCCGGTGCCTTTGCACCTCTCGATGTAACTGTACCTGCCCAGAACACCTCCCTGGGTCCTGAGAAGACCTCCTTCTTCCAGGCCCTTGCCATCCAGACCAAGATCTCGAAGGGTACTATTGAAATTTTGAATGATGTCAAGCTGATCAAGGCTGGTGACAAGGTTAGCTCTTGTGTGTTTGTGTGTTAATTGGTAGTTTTGTGTGTGTGATTTATAATATCAGGTGAGCAAAATATGGTGTTTTTTAAATAAACCCTTTAATTCATCATTTAATAATGATGTATTAATCAACTGTAAATGATGAATTAATTGCATAAATATCTATTACATTAATAGTGGTAACCTTGCATACCAAAATGAATTTAAAAGGTCGGAGCATCTGAGGCGACCCTCTTGAACATGTTGAATATCTCTCCCTTCACCTATGGCCTTCTCATTGAACAGGTCTACGACAGCGGTACTGTCTTTGATGTATCCATTCTTGATATCACTGATGATGATATCAGGTCTAAATTCATGGAGGTACGCATGTACGGATACTTTTTCGTATACTATTGAATAATTAATACGCTGATATCTTATCTTGTTTGATACCCTGATTGATATCTTGTTTGATACCCTGATTGATAATTTTATTCTATAACTTTTCCAAATTAGACTTATTGATTTAATTTACCTTTAAGTTGTATTTGCTCTGGTATATCTTGTTTAAAATTTATTGTTTAACACTTATTGTTTTTGTCTGTTCAGTTTTTTTTATTTTTATATCGCACGAAATGGTTTCATTAAAAGTGTTTTCTAATATATTTGTCATTAAATTACAGTATTGTCGTTTATAAATTGGATGATGAAAATTGAAATAAACCAACCACAAATGAACTAACAGGGTGTTGCAAACCTGGCCAGCTTGTCCCTCGAGATAGGCTACCCTACCATGGTTTCGGTACCTCACTCCATCATCAATGCCTTCAAGAACTTGCTCTCAGTTGCTCTCTGCACTGATATCACTTTTGAAGAGGCTGAAGCCATCAAAGAATTGGCTAGGTGAGTGGGTGGGGGCTTATTTATGGTTTAGTTAGTATACTGTTGTATGTGTGATTGATTGTTTGTTTGTGTGTGTGTGTGTGTGTCAAAGTTTAAATGCTGTTAAGTGTTATACTATTGGTCGTTATTTTTTAACTGTTAAAATTTTTCTCTTACCAGTTCTTAACTCGGGACGGAAGGAAGTGCAAAGTTTTTATTATGACACGTCGATTGATAAACAACATTATGTAAACTGTGTGCTTGGTGTTTTAAATAAATATTATCCGCAAATTGTGTGGATTATTATTTGATTTTGTTTTTTTTTCTAAGGTTAAAAAATGAAAATTACGTTCGGTTGTAACATACATCCGCGTTTGCATTGCTTATTTTTTCGGCGGCATTCGAGAAAATGCGTCTGGCGTCATTTTCTGTTCGGCATGTTCTGTATCGGTTAAATATGTAACTCGTGTCCAATGCTGCAAGATGGTTCGCCGGAAAATTTGTAAGATTAGGAAGTGAGCGAACTGCAACATGGATTCGTCATAAAAAGCCGTTAGGGCAAAAGTAATTTAGTGCGTGGCTATGTTTTGTTTGCATCTAATTTGTTTTAATATTGTCACTGACTGAAGATTTTATCTAGATTGTGGTCTCTAGACATCATCTAGTTTAGATAATGAGATGGTTTAATTTAGGAAATGGTCTCTAGACATCGTCTTGTTTGGTTAACAGTCCGATGTTGTCGCTCTCATGTATGAATTTGATTCACAAGCCTATAAATTCATCACAGCCGAACTTTCAATAGCCGTAATTGGAATCATAAAATTATTTTCTATCTGATGTATATACCCCAGAGAGGGAAAGAGGGAGGAGGATATTGCAGTTTTATATTTACCGCAAAAATTTAATCTACTCTTCAAACATCGGTCTGCCGCTTCCGATGCGTTTGCTTGGCTCACGCGTGCGCTTCTGTATGCGTGTATGTGCGAATTTTAAAATGTATTTGTTTGCGAGTGTGTGTGTGTGAATTTAAAAATGTGTATTTGAGTGTGAGTTATATAACTGGTTATATATACTGCGTATATCTATCTAGGTAGGTATTTGGTCACGAAGCATACACGAAAGCTTTACCCGCCACAATAATGTGGAATACCGACAATGTATTAAATGTAATACTTACACATCTCAAAATTACGAAGGAATTTGATTAAGTCGAATTTTATTGTTTATACATATAAATATTAATTTAAATTGTTATTAATTTAAACAATAATTAGTTTGATTTAAGATAATTTAACTAATTTCTAATAAATAATTCAAGCGAACCGAGTTACACGAATTAGGAGAGTGCGTTTAGTGTGTTGGATCATTTGAATAAATGTACCGATGTATATTGTTATTTGTTTCGTACATTTATATGTATAAATGTTTGTTTGTATGTATGCATTTGTTTGGATGTATTAATGTTTGTATGTGTGTGTATGTGCGTGTGTGTGTGCGTGCGTGTGTGTGTGTGTGTGTGTGTGTGTGTGTGTGTGTGTGTGTGTGTGTGTGTGTGTGTGAATTTGCGTGCTTTGTGTCATTCAGTTCACAAGTGTTAAGTTACAACAGGAAGATAAATATGGAGTGAAGATGACGAAGATGATAATAAAATAATTATTAAGAAGAGGACGATGATGAAGAAGATAATGATGATGGTGATAAGAATGATGACGACGACGATGATGCAAGTGATTAGAATGTTGAGTTTCATAGCGATGATGAAATGCTGATGACGAGAAAGATGATGATGAAGACGAAGATGACGCCGAATGTTAAATGTTACAGCTACGCTCTTCCTCACAATGTAACAGAATTTTTTCTAAATCGAATTCAATGTAGCTTCGAGATATTCTGCTCTGCTTATGCCTACATAGCGTATAAAATATGTGTGACGTGTGAAGTGAAGAAAAAAATAGAGAGAGAGAGAGAGAGAAAGAGAGAGAGAGAGAGAAAGAAAAAAAAAGTGAGATACCAAAGAACTTCAAACAGATACAAATAAATTGAATAAGGCAATCAAAAAGAAGCCAAAAACTGACGGAAACAAACAAAAATGATGGGAAGCCTAAGGGGTAGTACGTTATGCATTCTAATCATTCACACATTGTTCTCTAACAGGTCGTGTGATCTTTCTCCTCCTACTTTCTCTTTTTTTACTCATTTTGTTCTCTATTTTTTTCTCTCTCCCCTTTCTTTCTCTCCCTCTTTCCCTCTCTCTCTCTTTCTCTCTCTTTCTCTTTCTCTATCTCTCTCTCTATCTCTCTCTCTCGTACTCCTTTCCTATTTTTCGGTGTAGATTTTTTTTGGTCTTTTTGTTTCTTCATTTATTAACATTTTTCTTTTTTTTCATTCTCTATTTCTATCTTCCTTTCTATCCTCTTTCTCTCACTCTCACTTTTTCTCTTTCTTTAAAAAAAGGTAAAAGGAAGTAATGAGAGAGAGAGAGAGAGAGAGAGAAAAAGAAAGATAGAGAGAAAAGTTAAAGAATGAAAGATTGGAGATTTTTATCCGTGACATGCGGGATGTCAAACGATGATGATGACGGCAACCTCTCTCTCTCCCCTCTTTCTCTCTTTTTATCTTTCTCACATATCTTCCTTTTTAAGTTTTTTTCTTTATCTCTTTTCCTATCTCTCTCTTTCTCTCTTCTCTTCTCTTTTCTTTCTATTTTTTTTCACAGTTTCTGGAAGCGATCAAATGAATATCTAAAATGCTCAATCAACGATTGAGTCTTGTTTAAACGAGAATATGCAATAAAACTTCAATGTATCTTCAACATAAATCAATCAACAAACTGAACATGTGAAACACAGTAAACACAGTAACACACACACACACACACACACACACACACACACACACACACACACACACACACACACACACACACACACATGCATACATACATACATACACTCATACCTCATACATACATACATACATACATACACACACACACACACACACACACACACACACACACACACACACACACATACATACATACATACATACATAAATGCATACATACATACATACATACATACATACATACATACATACATACATACATACATACATACATACATAAATAAATCGGTCGGCGTAGTATATAAACGATTCGTGAACTAAGGAAATTGCGGTTTTTATTGTGGAAACAACGGAGCTGTTGTTTGATTATTTTTTGTATTCTTTGATCGACAAACAAATATATACATTGTATACCAACCACATACAATAATATACAATAATATACAAATGTGTATTGAGAAATACAAATTTACATATATATGAAAACGGAGATATAAACATACATACAATGTTGTGTAAAAAATAACAATAAAAATAATAATCATAACGACAAAACGCGATGACGACGACGATGATGACGACGATGATGATGATTAGAACATTATTATTATTCTTATTATTTTTATTATTATTCTTGTTGTGCTGGCTGCCGTCGTCGCATCAATCTCCCGGGCTGAAAGGTTAATAAACTAATTAATTGATTTTATCACTAATTAAATTTTATTAATAATGTAATTAATTATGAATAACTATTTAAAATAAAATAATTATAATGAAAGGATTAATGTCGTTTTATAGTTGGTGTACAGAAACAATGACACACACGCGCACACACACACATATACACACATACACAACCTAAACAATATATACAAATAATTATAAGTGCATAATTTTATGCAAAGATATGCATACATTCATACAAACGGGCACAAACATGCATACAAACATATACAAAAGTACATAAAAAGATACAAACATTCATACATGCGTACACACAAAACAAACATACAAACAAACATACAAACAAACATACGAAACGAAACGAAATTTTATTTGCTTCTCAATATTCAAAAACAAAAAATACAAAAATACAAACATACATACATACATACAAAATAATAAAAAATAATAATAATAAATAATACAAAAATACAAACATACATACATATATACAAACATACAAAATTGATAAACTTTTTTCTTTTACATTCAGTCCATCACACGTCAAATTTTTGATTTAACCGTAATAGTTTTTTTTTCAAAAATTTTTTTCATAATTGTGTACACGCGCAAAAAGATATACTTTGTGTATAAAAAATTTAGTATACAAAATTGATGATTTATTGTATATGCCTGTATATAATTGTATGTATTTTTGTTATATATTTGTTTTATACGTGTTTGTATGTATGTGTGTATATATAAATATATGTTTTTTGTATATGTTGTATGTTTGGTATATATATGGGTAATTTTGGATATAAGTGTATTTAATTGTATGCCTTTTTTGTATAAAATTGTATTTATTTGTATATATGTTTGTATACGTTTGTACGAATTTGTATAAATTTTCATTGTCATATTTTTTTCTAATTGTAATAGCTGAAAAAACTAAAAATAAAAAATTTGGAGAAAAGAATCTTTTCCTGAAAAAATGTAAAAATTTATTAATGCCATTAAAAGTAAAAAAAACATTTTTTAATATTTTCTGTCAAAAAATTTGTTTATTTATTTTAAAATTGAAGTTTAAACAAAAAATGTTGTCGTTAATTTTATATTTCAAAGAAAATAGTTGTATATTACGTATGTGTGTGAATGTATATATATATATATATATATATATATATATATATATATATATATGTGTGTGTGTGTGTGTGTGTGTGTGTGTGTGTGTGTGTGTGTGTGGATTCACGTGCGTGAATTTACAAACGCTGTATAATTGTAATTATGAGAGTATCACAAATGTAGTTAATTTTAGTTATAAAATACTTAAATTAGTTAATAAGGTACTACCCAAGTTATGTTCTGGCATTAATTATTGTCTTACTTACATACTTTTTTTCTCAGTTCGGTGCCAGACTTATTAATGATTATTTCTACAGACAATTCAACCAATACCTTCAAATACCTTTGTCTGTTTGTATGTATAGGTGAGTTTTTGTGTGTTTATACCCGTATAGGTAATGTATGTACGTTTTTGTAGACACACATTTGTGCATAGAATGTGTTTGTTTATGTGTGCGTGTGCGTGAGTGTGTGTAAGTGTGCTAATTATGATAAACTTATTACTGGTTAAAAATAGTTACAAAAATTCCCATAAAATTAAAGAAACATGCTGTTTTATCAGAATCATAAAAGTTATGAGAAAAGATATTCATGTTTGTCCAAGGATTTTCTAAATATATCATCTTGCTCTATAAATAGACATATCATCATCTTTTTCATCATGATCTTCATCATCGTCGTCATCGTCACCTTCTTCGTCATCATCGTCATAGTCATCTTCTTCTTT